CTTGTACATAATTAGGTTAGTTAATTTAACATTGTAGACCACATCCCCATGGAGTCCCTAGAGGACCAGGACTAGCTGTAAGTTAGCTTAGGTAATAAGAGAAGTTGTATTAGATTTAGGTCTAAACTTAGGGGTAATGTGCCCACATTAGGTTAAGGTAGGTTAAGTCAGGGATGTCAGCATGCACAGAGGGTAAGACACTCTAAAGATGTTAGAATTAAGACTCGTAGATAATTTAGCAGTAAGAAATTTGTAAAAATTTGTCTGAAATAAATAATGTCCAAGCCGGTTGAATAACTTTTAGGAACGAAGTAAATCTGAAAGAATCATTAGCAGACTGAGCTTTATTAATATAAAGTTCAAGGTAGCAGGTGTGGGACAATGATGAAAACGTCACTATTCAATTATTTTCCAATGTTTCGACCTTTATTAGTGTCTTCTTCAACTCTTAAATCATGCGTGAACGTCATGTCTAAATAAGTTAATTGAATGCATCCCCAAGGCGAAGGCACTAGATATCTTTAATATAATATAATAATAATTTATTTTTGCCCTTGCTATGGGGATGCATTCAATTAACTTATTTAGACATAACGTTCACGCATGATTTGAGCCTTGAAGAAGACCCCAATAAAGGTCTACACGTCGGCAAATAATTGAATAGTGACGGTTTTCATCATTTTCCCGCACATGCAACCTTCAACTTTATTTTCCTAATGTGACGCAAAAGCGAAACAAAAGTTATTAATATAATTATGACACCCTGATCCCGTAGAAAATATAATCTCAATGCTGATGAGTTTCGCAACTCGAAAATCTGCGATATGCAGGTCAAAGTCATATCTACAGAATTTTTTCGTTTACTAGCGCAAAGATCTTCGGAACTAGAACAATTACGAAGAAGGTCGAATGAACAAGGAATTGTAGTTTTGAATGGTCTACTCCAAACAATTTTATTTGTCTAAAATTTGACAGCTGTCAATAGATATTTGTAAAAAACTAATTTATGGAAAATTTGTAAATTACTCCTAGTTCCTTTGATATTATTCTGACAGGAAGACATTTAATAGAAAATTGGTTGGAAATTGAGGTCCAAACAAAAACGCATAAGACATTTCTCCAAAATAACTGTAATGTTTGACATATGACACAAATTTGAGTTTTTTTTTAATGGCAACCATATTTGATTATTACTTTACCGAATAGAGTATTTTATTACGATTTGTGCGATATATCAAATAGTTAGTCTTTTTTCGAAAATAAAGTGACGATAAAAACGCTTTCGAATCAAAAAAATGCGAATAAAATCGCACGAAATTAGTGTACGACATACAGCATTGCTTCCATAATAACAAATATTAAAAGTATGCTTCGTATGTATTTTAACAACTACATGAAAGTTGGGAATAACTTTATTTTAATTAAGGCGGCCGGTCATTTAAAGTGCTTATTATAAAAATCAAATCATACCAATAAGAATTAAAATTTAACTATAGCAATTTGAATTTTTATTGTAAAACATTTTCTAAAAATTCACCATTATTATCAATGCAAGCTTTAAAACTCAATAAGTTGCTTTTCTGGCGGCCCGACCATCAATATTTTCAAATGGTCTAACAACAACTTCTTTAAGTGCATTTAAATGGAAATAGTTGTTTTTGTAAATTGTTTTTTTACGGCTCCCCACAAAAAGAAATCCAAAAGTGAAAGATCCGGTGATCGAGATGGCCATAAAAAAATTATGCGGAGGAGCGGCATTATGTTGAAACCATTGCACATTACGCCATGTTTCTTAATCCAACATAAGGTAGAGGTTATTCCGAAGGACTTGAAAATACCGACTCCCATTTAAGATGCCTTAAAAAATAAATGGTCCAAGAAATTTTGAACCTACCATTCCGCTCCAGGCGTTAAACCCAAATTTAATTTGTGGTCTCCTTTGCTCAGTGTGGTGGAGATTTGTTTGATTCCAAAGATGTTCGTTGTGTTGATTAAGCTAAACACAATTTGTATATCGAGTTTCATCGTCACAATATTTTATAAGGGAACTGGATCTCTTGTTAGCATTTTTTGTGGAACCGTGTACAAAAATTCACCCGCAGCTCCTCATCCCCTGGATGTAAAGTTTGGGATACTGATAATTTATACGGAAGTAATTTGTGATTTGTAAAACTTTTATCACGGTGCTTTGGAATGTCTCGAATTCTGCTGCGATCTTTCTGATTGAAATCTGTGAATTCTGGCTTACAGTGGCCAAGACATTAACCTCCACCGCTTCATTTATTACTTTACCTTCATTTCTTGGCTGCGTAAAACTTCCATAAGTGCCCAACGTGTCGTATAATCGTTTGAATGTTTTCAAGGACGGTCAAAATACCTTTCCAAATAGTACTCAGAGGCTCGTCTAGCATTTTTATCTCATCAAATGTAGGTTTTAATCATGCGCGCTTGTCTTGATTGGAATAATTCGTTTTTACAATAAAACTGACGTAAATTTCTTAGCTAAATCTAAACCTAAAAGTCGAAACTTAGATCAACTAAATTGAAAAAGTATAAATTGTTTGCAAACAGTTTATTTTCGAAAAAATCCGAACGATGTAATATAGCACAGAAATCGTAATAAAATGCCCTATTCGGAAAAGCAATAATCAAGTACGGTTGCCGTTTAAAAATAGTTCTCAAATTTGTGTCATATGTCAAAAATTACAGTTATGTTGTAGAAATTACTTATGCCATTTGGTT